GAGTAAAAAATAATGTTATGTGTTAATTTGCATTTCTTTAATTATAAACAGAGCTGAACTCCTTTTGGCCCACATTTATTTATTCATGCATGTTCTTAGTTCATTTTTCTATTAGGTTTCTAAAAATTTTTTTGTTGATTTGTCAGAACTCATTATAAATTAAAGCCCTTTTAACATGAAGTCAACATTTTTTTTTCTATGATTTTTTTCATCACCTTATTTTTATTAGTTTTCTTTTAAGATTTGATAAATGGTTGGATAGAGATTACTATTTATAATTTTTAATTATATCAGTAGTATACAAATGAAAAGCTGTAAAATTTCAAATATTACAAAAGTATACTGAATATTAGTCTCCTGTTTCTGTACTTTGTTTCCTGAGTTAATCACTTAATAGTTTAACTGTCTTTGTATCTGTTTTTGTACATTAACATCCTTATATGTATAGATATAAATATTTTATGGGTGTTTTTGTTCTTGTTGTAATTAACCAGAATTGGAATCATGCTGTTTAGATATTTTTTTATTTTTTTATCTTTATTGTTGAAAGAATTACAGATGCTGCCTTTTTTTCCTATTGACCCGTCCCCTCCACTGGCCCCTACATCCTCACCAAAGGCTTGCAGCACTTTATTGTCTGTGTCCATGCGTTATGCATATATGCATGTAAGTGTTTGGTTAATCTCTCCATACCCCACCCACTACCCCACCTTTACTCAGAGATTTGTCAGTCTGTTCCATGCATCTATGTTTCTGGATTTATTCTGTTGATCAGTTTATTTTGTTCATTAGATTCCACATATGAGTAAGATCATGTGATACCTGTCTTTCTCTGATTGGCTTATTTCGCTTAGCAAAATATTCTCTAGGCCCCTCCATACTGTCCCAAAGGGTAAGGAATCCTTCTTCTTTACAGCTGCGTAGTAGTCCCTGGTGTAAATGTCCCACAGTTTTTTTGTCTAGTCATCTACTAGCGGGCACTTGGGCTGTTTGCAGGTCTTAGCTATTGTAAATTGAGCTGCTATGAACATAGGGGCGCATAAGTTCTTTGTGACTGGTGTTTTCGGATTCTNTGAACATAGGGGCGCATAAGTTCTTTGTGATTGGTGTTTTCGGATTCTTGGGATATATTCCTAGAAGTGGGGTCACTGGGTCAAAAGGCAGCTCCATCTTTAATCTTTTGAGGAAACTCCATACTGTTTCCCATAGTGGCCGCACCAGTCTGCATTCCCACCAGCAGTGTACAAGGGCTCCCCTTTCTCCACACCCTCGCCAGCACTTGGCATTTATTGACTTCTTGTTGGCAGCCACTCAGACAGGTGTGAGGTGATATCTCGTTGTTGTTTTAATTTGCACCCNCCCTCGCCAGCACTTGGCATTTATTGACTTCTTGTTGGCAGCCACTCAGATAGGTGTGAGGTGATATCTCGTTGTCGTTTTAATTTGCACCTGATGATTAGTCACTTTCAGCACTTTTTTCATATCTGTTGGCCATCTGTATGTCCACCTTGGAGAAGTGTCTATTTAGGTCCTTTGCCCATTTTTTAATTGGATTGTTTGTCTTCCTTTTGTTCAGTAGTATGAGTTCCCGATATATTTGGTAATTAACCCTTATCAGACATATCCTTGGCAAATATCTTCTCCCATACAGTGGGCTCCCTTTGCGTTTTGTTGATGGTTCCTTTTGCTGTGCAAAAGCTCTTTATTTTGATGCAGTCCCATTTGTTTATTTTCTCCTTTGTTTCCCTTGCCCTAGGAGATGTATCTGCAAACATATTGCTACAAGAGATGTCTGAGATTTTGCTGACTATGGTTTCTTCTACGATTTTCATGGTTTCACAACTTACATTAAAGTCTTTCACCCATTTTGAGTTTATTCTTGTGTATGGTGTAAGTTGGTGGTCTAGTTTTATTTTTTTGCATGTACCTGTCCAATTATCACAACACCATTTATTGAAGAGACTGTCTTTACTCCATTGTATGCTCTTGCCTCCTTTGTCAAATATTACCTGAGTGTAATGGGTTGGGTCAATTTCTGGGTTCTCTGTTCTGTTCCATTGATCTATATGCCCGTTCTTGTGCCAGTACCAGGCTGTTTTAATTACAGTGGCTTTGTAGTATAACTTGATATCTGGTATTGTGATCCCTCCAACTTTGTTCTTCTTTCTCAAGATTGCCACAGCTGCTCCGGGTCTTTTTTGGCTCCATATAAATTTTTGGAGTATTTCTTCTAGATCTGTACAACATTCTGTTGGTATTTTAATAGGTAGTTCATTGAATCTATAGATTGCTTTGGGTAGTATGGACATTTTAATAATGTTAATTCTACTGTCTTAGATTGGGGTTGTATTTAGATTTAGCCCTACCCTTTTAATGACTTTAATATATACCATATTTATTTAACTATTTTTTTTATCAGTGGTCATTTATATGTGCAGAAGTTTTACATTAATAGGTAGCTAGATGTATTGTTTTTTTCACCAATGTCTATGTGTGCTGTGTCTTCATTATAAAAGCTATAGATGTGCCCATGCTGAAATTACATAAAAATTTCAACCATATTCTGATTGCATTCTTTGCACTTAAGTGATTGTTACATCTGAAATGTATAGTGGTATATACGTCTAGCCTTCTCTTCAAGTTTTGAAGTGCCAGTTTTTATCTTACATGAAATTCATGGGTTTTATAGTTGTATCTCTGTTCCCTTGAACTCTGTCCATGCCTGTCCCAACACCAAATCTTTGACTTTTCACTCTAGTACAATGATATGTTTTAATATCTGGCAGAACTCTTCCTTTTCAGAAATGTTCAAGCCACTCCCTATGCTAATTTTTGTAGATCAACTTTTATGTTATTTTTACCATTTTAACCATTTTAAGTGTACATTTCAGTGGCGTTAAGTACATTCACATTGTTGTGCAACAATCGCTTCTTCGTACCTAAAACTTTTAACTCTCAAAATGAAACATTATACCCATTAAACAACAACTCTCCACTTCCCCCTCATCCCATCCTTGCCAATTGCTATTCAGTTTTCTCTGAATTTGACTATTTTAGGGACCTCATAGAAGTGGAATCACTTCTGCCTTATTTCACTTAGAAAAATGTGTTCTGGCTTACCTCACGTAGCATAACGTTTACAAGGTTCATCTCTCCTGTAGCATGTTTCAGAACTTTGTTCCTTTTCCTGGCTGCATAACATTCCACTGTTTGTACATACCACATTTTTTATCCATTCACCTGATGATAGACACGGGTTGTTTCAAACTTCTGGGTATTCTGAATATGCTTCTCTGAAAAATGGCATTTGAGTAACTGTTTGAGGCCTCTTTTCAAATTTGGGGGTATACACCCTGGAGTAGAATTGTTGTGTCATGTAGTAATTCTGCGTTTACTTTTTGAGGAGCAGCCATACTATCTTCCACAGTGCATGCCATATTTTTTATTTCCACCAGTGGTGCATGACAGTTCCAATTTCTCCACCTCTTTACCAATACTTGTTATTTGTGTTGTTGTTCTTGTCCTAGTCATCCTAATGTGTATGAAGTAGTATCTCATTGTCATTTTTATTTTCATTTCCTAATGATTCGTGATCCTATTTTCATGTGCTTATTGGTGGTGTTTTATATATCTTTTTTGGGGAAATGTCTTTTCAAGTCCTTGCACAATTTTGATTTGGGGTGTTTTTTTTTTGTCACTAAGTTTTAGGCGTTCATTATATATTTTGGATATTAATCCTTTATCAGATGTATTCTTTGCAGATATTTCCTCCTATTCCATGCATTGTCTTTTCACTCTATTGATAATGACCATTGATAAAATTTTTAATTTTGCTGAAGTCAAATTTGTCTACTTTTTTGTTGCCTATGCTTTTGGTGTCACATCCAAAAAACCACTGCCATATCCAACGTCATGCAGCTTCCTCTGTGTTTGTGTCTATAACTCTTATGGTTTTAGCTCTCATGTATAGATTTTTGGTCCCCTTTGAAGTCACTTTTGCATATGATGTAAGATAAGGGTGAAATTTCTTCCTTTGTGTGTAGAAACTCCGTTTTCCAAGAACCAGTTGTTGAAAAGATTGCCTTTCCCAATTAAATGTTGTTAGCACCCTTCCATGCAATCATTTGACCATATAAGCAAAGGTTTATTTGTAGGCTCCGTACTGTGTTCCATGGGCCTGTCTGAATTTCTGCCTGCACCACTGTGTTTTGATTACTGTAGCTTTCGAGAAGCTACAATAGAGGTGAGTTCTCCCAACTTCGCTCTTCTGTTTCAAGATTGTCTTGGCTATGCCTAGTCCCATGAGGTTCCACATGAGTTATGTGATGGATTTTTCTCTTTCTGCAAAATGCATATTCAAGATGGTGATGGGCCTGCATACAACCTGTAGGTTGCTTTGTGTAGTATCAACATCTTAACCATACCAAGTCTTCCAGTGCATGAACACAGGATGTCTTTTCATTTATTTATATCATCTATTTCTTTCAGCAACGTTCTGTAGTTTTCAGTGGAGGAGTCTTTCCCCTCCTTGATTAAGATTCTTTTTAAGTATTTTGCTCTTTCTTTTTCTTAATTCTCAACGAAGGATGTGTTTAACAAGTTGAGAGAGAGAGGAAAGGGGGTGGGGCAGAGAAACATGGATGCGAGGAAGAAGCATGGATTGGCTGCCTCCTGTACATGGCCCGCCAGGGATCAAACCCAGAACCTAGGTTTATGTCCTGACCAGGAATCAAACCTGCAGACTTCTGGTGTACAGGACGACACTCCAACCAACTGACACTCGCTCAGGATAGTATTTTATTCTTTTTTCATGCTATTGTAAGTAGAATTGTTTTCTTAATTTCCCTTTTGGTTTGCCCATTGTTAGTGTATAGAAATGCAACTCGTTTTTACTTGTTGATTTTGTAGACTGCAACTTTGCCTAATTTATTTATTAGTTCAAACAAGTGAGTGTGTGTGCATGCATGTTTATGTAACTTTTATAGTTTTCTACTTAAAAAATTATGTCGTCTAAAACAGGTAATTTTCTTTCTTCCTTCCCAACTTGAATGCTTTTTTTTCTTGCCTAATTGCTCTAATTGGAACTTTTAGTCAAGCTCGGTCATCCTGTCTTGTTCCTGATCTTAGGGGAAAACTTTCAGTCTTTCACCACTGAGTATGATGTTAGCTATGGGTATTTCATAAATGGGCCTTATTATGTTGAAAAATCTCTGCATTAGAGAATAACCTCTAAATCATTTATTAAGCCCTTCTGTATGTTTTAATTGTAAGTAGAATCACATTGAATCCATAGGCTAATATTGAGGCTACACTAATGATAAATTTGCATTCTGTACCACAGAATATTGTCACAGGAAATGTTACTGGAGAGGAGGAAGAATGCTGATGATAATGAATATAAATTCATAATGTTTAATGATACTACTTTAAATGAGAAATATTAATATTTTTCATATGAGGAAAATAAAATTATAAGAGATGTATAAAGGCAAAAAATCAAAACCTATGAATTTAGGAGTCTGTAAGCTTTACTATTTTTCACTTCTTTTTAAAATTATTTCCCCTTTTCTTCTTCTAGCATGTCCCGTAAGCACGGAAAAAGTACAATCTAAGGGCAGTGAAGCAGGTATTATTTTGGTTATTAATAACACTCCATTATGAGAACTTAGAGTTCTACATGGAAATACTATATTTCAATTATCTGTAGTGAGAGGAGAAACAACATGTCATGGAATAATTGACATTTGTATTTATTTTAATAGTGCAGATACCATGACAAATGTAAGCAGTAATATGGAGACACATGTAGATAATACAGTTTTTAAGAGGTCCCTCAAATTGAATTCCTAGTAGGGTGAGGTAACTTTCTCAACTTGCTGTGTTTATTTTTAGGTTAAAACATATAAAACCTAACTTGCTTTCCATGTGATGGTATTATTTTGTAATGGCACTTTGTAAATAAATTTCCTTTCTATTCAAACCTTGTGTACACAAGCCTTAATGTACTCTAAGTTGGGCTATTTTTTCCTAAAACAGGCTGTGCATCACACTTTATGTAGGCTCACATCTTTCACACAATACATGTTAAAGGAAAGGGTCAAGTATAGTGGTGACAGTTAAATGAAATATCAGGATTTTTGTTGACTAAATGAAGAAAAATGTGTATTCCTTTTCTTTTTGTTAGAGTAGTTTAGTAAGGTTAGTCTTTTTATAAAATGCACCTTAGGCCTGTTATGGTTTCCCTCTGAACACTGTGGTCAAACTGTCACTGTACCAGTAAATCCAAAGCCATTTAACTCATTAAACACTTGATAATTNTGGTTTCCCTCTGAACACTGTGGTCAAACTGTCACTGTACCAGTAAATCCAAAGCCATTTAATTCATTAAACACTTGATAATTTTTTATGAGGTAAAAAGAGCTGAGATAAACATGACATTGGTTATTTTGATCTATACAAATTTAATAAAAATAATGGCAGTTTGGAAGTAGAGATACTTCTGAACAAGGTTTCTAAGATTTAAGATTTTGTAGTATTATTTCTTGCTCTATGCATAATTTGTCCATATGCCCTGGTGTTTCATTTGCATTCTTAGAATGTTCTTGGCAATTAAGATTGTGTCTTAATTTGGGGGTGTGGGTGGAGGTACATGAGGAAGGATAGAGAACACATTATTTGTCTAGACTGCAAGATAGGTCTGTCTATTCAATTGATAGAACTTCATTAAAGACATTCCACAGATACACTTTTGGGGAACAACCGAAATGAAATTCCTAACAAAATCATAAGAACAAGAGACTGAATACTGAACTAAACCAGCTCTCATGGGACAGTACGTCTTAAAATAATTCTCCTCTGATCTAGTAAATTCTAATTCTTATCATAATCTCTCCTATTTTTATAATAATTCCTATTTCTATAACCTGGCAGGGCTGCTACAGCACAGAACAATCACAAGTGAGGGTCCTATTAAGAGTTTCACAAGTTAGACCCTAAGCCTGGAATTCGATTAGAAGGGTTCTGTGATCAAAATGCGCTGGACGCACTAGCAGTCACACTAAACTAGATTGACAAGTAGTTTATAGATGATCTGATTAGAATTAAAATGTAATTGCCACCTGGAGACCCACATGCGCTCAGTTATCTTCAAACTGGTTTTATTTTTTTCTCAGGTGTCGGACTTCTCATGTTTCTGATTATTCTTATAGTTAGTAAGTGTCTCAAACTTAGATACCACTTAAAATATTACTGTGGAAAAGTGCATGATTTTTTAATGATTTCTCAGCTTGTACAGTTTTTATATTAAGTAAACAGTCTACAAAAAGCCTCCTTTTGTATGACATATTACTTATGTTCATGATTGTGTATTCTTCTATATTCCATATTTTCATTTAATAACAAACCCTAAGTAACACATATGTTTTCAATATGACTAGTCATATGAGTTTTCATCCCAAATATGCTTTGGATATTTTTCTAAATTAGGAAAGGACTCTTCTCTGACTTACCGTGGACTGTTTAAGTGAGTCTATGGAATTGCATTTAGACAGTGAAGAGTCCAGATGGAATATGAATGTACATGTGCTTAAATAAAATAATATTGCTGCCCACTGAAATGTAGCCAACATTAATTTCTTGTGCTAGATTTTGAACTTTGGTAATAGTTTTTAGAGTTACATATCATTTGTTTTCTGCTTTCTTTTAGTTCTTAGCATTGCACTAGGTGGCGTTAGTGTGTACGCAGCTCTTCAGTCTACGAAGAAAGCGTAAATAAACATGCTCCTTGAACATATTGGTGCTCCTCACTCTTTACATACTTTGTACAGCTTTTATTTGCATTCTGTATTGCATGCTGCCTTTTTAAAAAATGTGTCTACATTAGTGTGCTATCAGAATTGCATTTTTTGCTAAAACTATTTTCAGCTTCTTTTAATATCATTGTAACAAGAGTAATCTGAGCAGAACTGCTTTAGCTGTTGGGACTGTGAGAAAAATTCCTGTGGGGTTGGAGGTTTAAGTTCTGCAGAGAATCATGGATCATTATGGAACCGACAACCTAGAATGATTTAACAGCCAAGGTTACCATTCAGAATTGAAAGAAAGATAAAGAGTTTCCTGGACAAGCAAAAACTAAAGGAGTTCATCACCATTAAAGCAGCTTTACGAGAAATGTTAAAGGGTGTTCTTTAAGCAGGAAAGGAAAGGCCATAACCAGAAGTAAGAAAATAGGACAAATAAAAAATCACAGGTAATGAAAAATATTTAATAAAAGCAGCAAATCAGACATTTAGAGTTCAAAAGGTCCAAGGACAAAAGTACCAAACTCACCTCAAATTTCAAAGAGTAGTTAGGAGATACACAAAATGAAGATCTAAAATATGACATTAAAAACATAAAGCATAGAGGAAGGAAGATGGCAGCACTGTGAGCAGCAGCAGAGCACCTTGCTCCCAGCCATGGACTCGATTTCCTCCCAAAATCCTATGTAGCAGCTTGGAAAAAACAGAGAAATATACCTGAGTGGACGGGGTGCGAGGAGGGAGCACTGAAGAAACATCAGAGTCCAGTAAGAGAGGGGGGCGTAGAAAGAGGGAGGCCCCCCTGAAGCCTGTGCTGGGCGCCGAGCCCCGAGGCTTGGAGGCTGCAGGGCTCCCTCCCCTTGAGAGTGCGGACTGACCTCCAAAAGCGGGGATCTTACACCCAGAGCAGAGGAGAGGGGAAGTAGTGCCCCGCATGAAGGGCAGGGGGACCCAGGGGAGTGGGGTGCTCACCATAAGGGGATGGTGCCTTCCTAGCGAGACAAGGCTTCTAATGGCGGCTGCAACCCTCATCTAATGCTCAGGGTGCCAACCATAGGAAAGGCTGTCCCACAGTGTGTGGCACCCGAGTAGTGAGAGACGAGAGGTCTGCACTGAGCAGCCACACACAGGGACCCTCTGCCTCCCTGTGGCCACTGTGTTGAGCCCCAGAAAGCACTGAATCTTCGTGGCACGGGGGAGGGGAGGAGCCCTCCCGCCCTGAGCTCCCAGTGCTGAGAAGCTGGGATCTGTGACCAGTCCTGAGGGGTGCCGTGGTGGCCCGTGAAGCTGCCCCAGCTTTGCTGAGAGCAGCAGTGCTGGGAGTTGCGGGGAGCTGACTTTGGGTCCCCTCCCGCTGGGGGCCTTGGAGGAGGGCAGCGGGACCTTGCAGGGCTGACTGCCTGTGTGTTGCTTTGTGCCTTTGCAAGTTTGACCCCGGAACTGGCTCCCACCTTCCTGGCGTGCACTGCGCAGACAGACCAGCGGAGGCTGGGATTGGGGCCTGGGCAGTAGAGGGATTGAGGGGCGGGCCGGGTGTGACCAGCCAACCAGAGCTGAGCAGGGAGGGGCGGAGCCCGAGGGCCTCTCCTGCATCCAGGAGCACCGCCCCTAACAGGAAAGGCGGGGGTCCCACTCACTGAGGCCCCAGACACCCTCGCAGGGCACAGTCCTGAGGGGGAAGGGAGAGCAGCTGACAGGAGGACATTACCAGAATAAGACTCTCAGGGGCTCTTGTTTGGGAACTGGAGGAAACGCTAAAAACCCCTGCTGGGGACTGGGCAGGCAAAGGGCTCACCAGAATGTTTTTTAATTGAACCCACTGAGCCCAGGCTGCTGAAACGGCCCAGACAAAAAAGGCAACAGGCTGAAATCAGTCTGAAGCAGCAGCAGGACAGAGCCTGGGGAACTAGAACCAGAGGACAGGGTAGGGACTGAGGAGCTGGCTGTGGAGCAGAGACTAAGTCCCACAGAGTGAGTGCCTGACAGCGACACCTCTAAGGGGAGTGATACCCTGGGCTACACTAGCCACCCTGTACCCTGCTAACTCTACAGAAGACTCTGGAGTAAGACAAGGCCACTACAAGGTTGCAAAATAGCTGACAAGAGGAGGTGGCCCACAGAGAGCCTCAGATCAACCATCTACCTAAGGACACCAGAGCCAAACCTAGACGGCTCCTCACGTTGGCTGATACACAAGCACCTCCCAGGAGGATGGAAATCAGCATACAAAACAGTGACCCTCAGACAACATAAGCTGCCCAGATGAAACTCACCTGATTAACTTTTTTTCTTTCTGTTTTTTCGTTTGTTTGTTTTTTCTCTTTTTCCCTTAGGAATAAGAAAAGGGAAAAAATATTTTTTTCTTTTTAAATTTTATAATTTTTTTAATTTTTAAAACGTGTTTAATTTTTTTTCTTTTTTTAAAAAAAATTTTGCTTGTTTTTTCTATTGTTAACCTGTTTTGTTTTGTTTATTTGTTTTCTTTTGTTTTATCCTTTTTCCTACTATCAAGACATTCTTGACATTTCTTGCGTAATTGCTGGGACTTTATCAGTATAACCAAGTTTACTGCTCTCCTCCATAGTTTCCCCCAAATCTCTTACTGGGCTCCCTCCCTGCCTCGGCTTCCTCTCTCTCTCTCTCTCTCCTCTCGATCCATTGGCGTAACTTTTTCTTCTTTCCTTCCTTCCTTCCTTCATTCACTCATTCACTTATTTATTTATTTATTTACTTACTTACTTATTTATTTATTTATTTATTTATTTATTTTCTCCTCCCTTCTGTCTTCCTGTCTTATTGTTCAAATGTTAGTTTCTCTTATTCTCTTTATTGTATTTTTATTTTTTCATTTTAAACTACTATCCTATTCCTATTCTCTCCCTTAATTTTTTGCTGGCCCTTCCTTCAAAATCTTTTCTCTGCCTGTATTATTTCCCAGTAGTTTCTCTATTTTTTATATTTTACTTTATTATTATTTTCTAGATTTTCATCACTATTAACAACAATATACTTTTCTCTCTCTAAGCATTATTTTTCTTTCTCTTTTGTTAACCTTTTGGATTTGTTGGGGTTTTTTTCTCTAGAATTTGTGTTCTCTGTTCACTCTCCCAGTTCTGTTTTCACTTGGGTTGTTTACACTGTGACTGTCAAGATATTTTGTAAGATACCCCTTGTTTCCTGGAAGTTTAGTTGTATATTGTCCTGCCTTGCCAGCACACGTACAGCAGCTTACACGATGAAGTTGGGGCTGAGACACACAATTAGCCAACCTGAGAGGAGAATCCACCCAAGGACTGGTCAACAACAATCTAGACTCAACCACAACAGGAAAACCCAAAGAACCCACAAAAGAGACACCCACAAAAGGAACACGCCTAGAGCAAAGAGCTCAGAAGTATAAGGAAAACACACCTCTGGGCTTCACTGGACTCACAATACAAAATCCCACTGCACAAGACTGGGGGACAACAAATATATCTTAATATATAGATACAAACACTAAGACTTACAAAAATGGGGAGACAAAAAAACCAAATTAAAGAAAAGGAAAAGTCGCCAGAAAAAGACTTTGATAAGATGGAGTTAAGCAAGTTATCAGAAACAGAGTTCAGAGTATTGATTATAAAGATGTTCAAGGAAATTAATGAGAAAAACAAGGCACTAGATGGTAAGATCGAGGAACTTGGTGAAAACATGAAAAACAGAAACATAAAAATCAGACAGAAATAAAGAATGCTGTATCTGATATCAAGAATACACTGAAAGCTATAAAAAGGAGGCCCAATGAGGCAGAGGATAGAATAAGTGACTTAGAAGACAAGATACAAAAAAATCAATCAGAGCAGCAAAAAGAAAAAACATTTAAAAAGCATGGGGACAGTCTACGGGACCTTTGGGACAACATGAAGTGAAACAACATTCGCATTATAGGAGTAACGGGGAGGAAAGACAGCAAGGGATAGAGAACTTGGTGGAGGAAATACTGACAGAAAACTTTCCTATGCTGGTGAGGGAGAAAGCCACACAAGTTCAGGAAGCGCAGAGGGTTCCAAACAAGAGGGACCCAAAGAGACCCACTCCAAGACACATCACAATTAAAATGGCAAATGTCAAGGACAAAGAGAATATTAAGGGCTGCAAGAGAGAGACAAGCAGTGACCTATAAGGGAACCACCATAAGGCTGACATCAGATCTGTCAACAGAAACTCTTTAGGCCAGAAGGGAGTGCCATGAAGTTCCCAAAGTAATGAAAAGCAAAAACCTGCAAATAAGACTGCTCTATACAGCACGGCTGTCATTTAAAATTGAAGGTGAAATAAAGAGCTTCTCAGACAAAGGCTGAAAGAGTTCAGTACCACTAAACCCGCATTGCAAGAAATGCAAAAAGGACTGCTCTAAGAAAAAGAAGGAATAGTGCGAGAAAGGTACATCAGCATAAAGGGGGAAAATAGCATTAAATAAGTATATATCAACAGTAACCTTAAATATAAACAGAATGGTCCAATCAAAAGACATAGGGTAGCTGAATGAATAAAAACGGGACCCGAATATATGCTGTCTACAAGAGACCCACCTGAGAGCAAAAGATTCACACAGGCTAAAAGTGAAGGGATAGAATAAAATATTCTGTGCAAATGGGAAGGGAAAAAAAGCTGGAGTAGCAATACTTATTTCTGACAAAACATACTTCAAAGTAAAGACCATAACAAGAGACAAAGATGGTCACTACATTATACTAAAGGGATCAATCCAACAGGAGGACATAACCCTTAAAATATATATGCACCCAATATAGGAACCCCTAAATATATAAAAA